CATTCCTCTAAATACCTCAGGTTAAAATGAAAAATCAGATTAGCATTACAACCTGTCTGAAATTATTAACCACAAGAAAATTTCATATAAAAACTAAGATAATCTGACTGAAGGGTTCCTCATAGCAGTGGTCAGAACCTTAAACTCCTTTGGGTAAAGTCAGTGACTGACTCATCCATTCCACAAAAATTTTCTGAGCGCCTATTGTAGGCCAGCACTGCTTCAAGTGGTGGGGACAGAGCAGTGATCAAAAGAGAAAATGTTCCTCTTGGTGGAGGTTATGTTCAAGTGGATAACTGTAAGAATTATTGAAAAAAAAATCCTGAATGTTCAATTCAAGAACCTGGAAAGGTATAATAATATGCCCTCAGAAAAGTAAGGGAGAAGAGTAAGGTAAATATAAAAATGGATGACTTGGAAAAAAAAATAAAACAATCAATAAAATTAAGATCTGAAAGTCTAGGGCACCTGGGTGGCTCAGTGGGTTAAAGCCTCTGCCTTCGGCTCAGGTCATGATCCCAGGGTCCTGGGATCGAGCCCCACATCGGGCTCCCTGCTCAGCAGGGAGCCTGCTTCCTCCTCTCTCTCTCTCTCTGCCTGCGTCTCTGCCTACTTGTGATCTCTGTCTGTCAATTAAATAAATAAAATCTTAAAAAAAAAAAGATCTGAATAGCTAAAATGAGAAACACAAGAAACAACAAGTGTTGCCAAGGAGGTGGAGAAAAAGGAATCTTCCCTCTTGCACTGTTGGTGGAATGCAAACTGGTGCACCTCTGTGGAATACAGTATGGAGGTTCCTCAAAAAATAAAAAATAGAGCTACCCAATAATCGCTCTACTAGGTATTTACCCAAAGAATACGAAAACCCTAATTTGGGAGTGTATATGCACCCCCATGTTTATTAAATCATTATTTACAATAGCCAAATTATGGAAGCTGCCCAAGTGGTCTATCAATAGATGAATGGATAAAGAATACACATATACACATATATAAATATATATAAAACAATATAATATATATAACATGTATATATAACGGACTATTATTCAGCCATAAAAAATAATGGTATCTTGCCATTTGCAACAACATGGATGGATTGAGAGTATAATGCTAAGCAAAATAAGTCAGTCAGAGAAAGACAATACCATATGGTTTCCCTCATATGTGGAATTTAAGAAACAAAACAAATGAACAAAGGGGGAAAAAACAAACCAGAAAACAGACTCTGAACTCTAGAGAACAAACAGATGGTTACCAGAGGGGAGGTGGATGGGGATGGGTGACATAGGTGATGGGGATTAAGAGCACACTCATCTCGATGAGCACTATGTACAGAACTGGTGAATCACTGCGTTATACACCAGAAGCTAATATAACACTGTATGTTAACTATATGGGAATTAAAATTAAAAAATTAAAATTAAACCTTAAAAATTAAGATTTGATCAGACTCTGCCATGTCTAAGAAAAAAGAGAGAAATCACAAATACGTATCCTTTAGAAAGGACAAAGGGAATGATATGGCTGCAGATACAGAGAAGATTGTAAAGCTTATAAGCAAATAAGTTTTTAAAAATGTGTATAATACAATGTCAAGAAGTGTAAAAACTTAGATAAAAACAGATGGCTACTGTGGACAAGATGAATAAATTACTAGAAGTACATGAATTACCGACATCAACTCACGTGGTGGAAAATTAGCATGGTCCAATAACTACAGAGAATTTGAAAAGATTGTTCAGGATCTACTCACCAAAACACATAAATACCTATAAAAGTTCGAAGTAAAACTTGACAGACTATTGAGGCAAAGATAATCTTATTTAAACTATGTAGAACATAAAGATGGAAAGAGGCTTTTGCAAGGCTGGAATATCAAAATCAAAACATGAACACCGGAATTACAATGACAAGAACAGAGGCAGGGAGAGCAGGAAGGCTGGAGCACAAACTGCCCTGAGGCAGAGCTGTTGCAGTGGGAGCTACTGTGTGTGTGTTCGCTTGGGTCCGTGAATGGTCTGTCACCCAAACATGGCTCTGGGGACATCCCAATCTGTGTCCCTGCCCTCCCTTCATGCCCCGCCACAGTCCACATCTATGGCTTTATGGGATACTCCTTACACTCAGCTGATCCCCTGAAAGTGGACTGCTATGGTGCTACTGTGCCATTGGGGGGTGGCCCCAAAAGATGGTGGGAAGAGAAATCCTCTTAAGGACACAATGTAGAACAATACATCTTCTTGACCACTTTCCCCAAAGGCAAGATGGCCTGAGCTACAGATTTCCATTGGTTCATGGACAATGGCTAGTGGTCTAGCTGGACAATTGGAAGCTCAGACAGAACAAGATTAGAGACTGGGGACAAGGTCGTCTGGGGAGGAGAATGTGAATGGATCTCTCAGAACTGTCCCACAGGCAGAGACTCCTCTCCAAAATATACTCCTCTCCAAAATTTTCCCCACTGTGAAGGAAGTTCTCAATGATCAGGTGGACAAGATGTCCACCCAGTGGACAAGTGTAGATCAGCTTTTTTCCTCAGTTACCCCTGAGCCCACTCAGAAATGAAGTGCTTTTGGAGGCAGGAACAGAGAACACCTATCCAAGTAAGGACTTGACAGCCTCTCCAAAGCTGAAGCAGCCAGTGCCACAGACAAGGCTCTAAATTCCAGCAGTGGAGACCAACTCTGCAAATCTGGTATATTGCAGTAGAGATGATCTATCAGCATTTGATAGCAAGTGGTTACACTGGATTCCTTCCATCATGGAGGGTCAGTGATTCATTCTCATTAGGATAAATATTTATATTGGAGCTCGATAAAAGTTTTCTCTCCCGGCTTCTACCAGGACCACCTTGAGCGGACTTAATAAATATCACTGGAACAACCCATATTCCATACTGTTTCTGCCCAAGAAACTCAGTTTAAAAAAAAAAAAAGTGATGCAATGGACCAATGGTCATGGGATTCACAGGGCTTTATCATATATCAGGATATATATATGAGTTTAACGGATAGAAGAATAAAATGGGCCACTGAAGGACCAGTTACAGCACTGATTGACAACATCTTATGAGTTTGGGACACTGTCCTCCAAGACATGGTATGTAAATTCAACCAGCAACCAATGGATAGTGGTCAATTTTGTTATTTGTCACTATCGAACCAAATAACCCACTTTCAAAAAATATGCTTCTCATTCCTGTGTCTGCTCTACATCTGCTAATTTAGAGTTTTTGATATCCAAGGGAGGAAAGCTTCAGTCTGGGAACATATAATGGGTGCACTGAATAGGAAGTTAATAGTGCCAAGCTGTCATTATGGGCTGTCTGTGCCACTAGATAAACAGGCCCAAAGGGAGGTCAGTGTTGGTTGGAATGATTGGGATTTGTGCTGTCCAATTCTATAGCCACCTGTGGCTATTATAAATTAATTTAAATTAAGCAAAATTATAAATTCAATTCTTCAATCCCACTAGCCACATGTCAGGTGGTCAATATCTGCATATAGCTATTAGCTACCATATCAGGTGGTAACATATGGCTATTGTCTACAGAAATAGGCAGAGCAGATGTAGAATGTTTCATCACTGCAGAAAGTTGCATTAGATGGTGCTGATTTCAACAACCAAGAGTAATAGGGAGGTCATTCTGTGGGGCACAAAGAAATGAGGTTAACTCTCTAGGACCCTGCTGCTCTATCCACTGGCACTGGTATGAGTAGGGGTCAATATGGAAGGAAGACGACAACAAACATATTTAGGCAGGACCATCAGGGCTCAGACCCCTCAAGAATAATGGTCCAGGCCACCTCACAATGTAAAGAATCCCTACCAACTTAGGTGTTGGCTGAAGGCAAAGTCAACGTGGAATAAATGGTAGAGAAGGGAGGTCATACACCTCTGCCAAGGCATAGAGCCCTATATTCCCTCCTCATAGTTTCTTCCTTGCTCAGCCACATGTATATTCACATATTTAAATGAATTTCTCTTAGATTTCCCTTCAATTACATATATTGTGTGCAGAATATTGAGATAGGATTGGGACAGAATCAGAGAAGGAATGGACCTTGTCCCAGAAATCTTGGACTTGGACTTGTATAGAGTAACTAATACAAGGATGAAGATATTGGGGCGCCTGGGTGGCTCAGTGGGTTAAAGCCTCTGCCTTTAGCTCAGGTCATGATCCCAGGGTTCTAGGATCGAGCTCCACGTCGGGCTCTCTGCTCCGCAGCGAGCCTGCTTCCCTTCCTCTCTCTCTGCCTGCCTCTCTGCCTACTTGTGATCTCTGTCTGTCAAAAAATAAATAAAATCTTAAAAAAAAAAGAATGAATATATTTTCAGTTTGTTAGGTTACAACTTTGGTTGGGGGGGATGGTGCTCTAAGGATGGAAGTCAGGCAGAACTGTAGTAAGAACTTACTGGTTATTTTGGCCGCCAAGAGTTTGATTCTGCCAGTAGCCTTCCAGTGTTAGTTTAAGTAGAGCTGGTTTCTGTTGTTTGCAAAGAGAATTTCTGATGGGTACAGAAGTATAAATGTTGGCAAGGAATTGACATAGTTATTTGTGGATGACACACTTGTCTTCCTAGAAGTTCCTGGAAAATCAAGAGAGAAAACACTAGGAAACAGCAAACAATTAACTATGGTAACCAGATATAAATTGCTTTCCTGTTTATCCACTTTATTCTGCAAGAAAATATAATGTTCAAAATAATTTTCAATGTAAAATAAAACCAGACCCTGAAGAGCCCTAAATGCCAGACCATTCTGTCTTGATGGTGGGGAGGAGCCAGAGAAGGTGTCAGCGCGTCAAGACCTGTCAGCAAGCTGAATGCAGGAGTTTGGGGGCAAGGGGGTAGCTGGGAGGTGTCATGCCCCTGCCCACTGTCCTGGCAGGTGCCTGTGGCTACCGCCCACCGGGCCCAGGAGTGGAGGTGTCAGCTTGAGAGCAGTGACCACTCCAGTGTGCACTGGTGGGGCCAAGGGAGCGGGAGGAACAGGAGCTGTGGTGCAGTCTCTGGGGTGTGAGTCAGTGCAGCTCCTCAGGGGACAGCAGACCTATATTTTGCCGGTCTTTGGCTTGTATACATTGGAGGACTTCTGTAAGGAAAATAATAAAAATTATAAATATAAAATAAGGTACAAACATGAATAATTACTTGGAATGAGAAAAGAAATCAACATGACCAACAAATAAGAAAAGTCAACATAGTCCAAATATCACATAATCTCCCCAAATAGCCTAATAGTTTTAAATGCTGCACACATCTTTGTAATACTTTTTTTTCCCCTTCGTTTTTGGCGACATACCTTTTGGCGGCTTCTTCATATAACGATGCTGTAAAGTACAGTACATGACGTTTCCTCTAAAGAGAATAATTTGGCATTTCCTAAAAGGGAATAGAAAGATAATTCCTGGTGTGATTAGCCAATCTGTTATTTTGTTATTAATAGTTTAGTAGAGTTCAGCTTCATGATCTGTTGATAAAGTTGGAAATGTTCAGGATTATCCCCAATTGGCGGCAACCTCTATCCAATATCTTTTACAAGTGAGCTGTAAGATTGCAGAGTGAGGGCCAATCTTAAATATTTGGAATTGACGGCTCGTTAACCAGAGCAATTCCGACGCATTCTTAAATTGCTGCTACATTGCTTTTAGCAGCATCATTGTGTAATAAAATGACTCTTGCGCTATGTACACTGTAGTTATTGATGAATATGTACAGAAGCCTTGTCACGGGAACCCTTGTTCCTCCAGGCTATCTTGCTCTGTTGGTGAAAATTTCATGTGCCATTTCGTCTGGAACTACCAGACCTCATCAGGACAAGACACATCGGTCACACTGAGATGTGATTCCATATAATGAGACACATAAAACATGCAACTTGACACAGAAGTACCGGGTGCTTGTGGAACTTGCCCAGGACTCAAGCCCTGCAAACAATGGAATCCTGATACATTTGATTCTGGATGAATCCCATGAAAGAGAAATAGAATGTGCGATGCACTTATAATTGTATATGTAGCATTACAGAGTATATTCTTCAACGGGAGTATATTTTTTTAAAGATTTTTTATTTATTTATTTGACAGAGAGAGATCACAAGTAGGCAGAGAGGCAGGCAAAGAGAGAGGAAGAAGCAGGCTCCCCACCGAGCAGAGAGCCCGATGTGGGGCTCAATCCCAGGACCCTGAGATCATGACCTGAGCCGAAGGCAGAGGCTTAACCCACTGAGTCACCCAGGCGCCCCAGGAGTATATTTTTGAGGGGAAAGAATTTCCAGTTTGACTGGGCATCCATGAGAAATGAGTCCTATGTTCTGATGGTGGAAGAATTTTTCACCGGCCCACTCTGGCTCTTTTCACTTCAAACCTCATTTCTCCTCCAAAACTTGCCAGTACTGGGGGCTGACACATTCATATTTCAATATGACCTCTGGCCTGAACCTTCGTGTCATGGTAATTGGTGAGCTGGCATGGTGGGTATTGGTGGGTAGGAGTATTATTGCCAGAATGGCTAACAATAATTTAGGTATAAATTAGAGTGAGTATAAATTATGTAACTATATGCCCACTAAGCCAAATACATGTATCTTCAATTCAACTTCCCCTTAGCCAGACCCCAGAGATGTCCAAAGCCATCCAACACCTTTCGACATGGTGGAACTATGACAGGAAGTTACAGTGAAAGACACAATGGTCTTAACGGAAACATTTTACTTCTGTCAGTTTTACAGAACCATTATGACCGTGTGAATGCATTGCTCTGATCCCTCCCAGGGCTTTGCAGAAGGCCTATGTGAGTTTATCTAACATCACAGTATACCCACCTTGGCTTTGGCTGTCAGGGCAGGAGCTAGGGAAACAGGGAATAGTCCCGTTAATCATTCCTCTTACTGAAAATCTCAACACAGTCCACACAACACCCTTCATGCTCGCCCTCTCATCTATTCCCACTACAACCTGTGAAGTAGGTATTATCCTCCCCAGGCCACAGAGGAAAAGTGGAAGCCTAGAAACAGAAGGTCTCTTGGCCAGGGTCACACAGTAAACAAGCAGTTCAGCCCAGCTCTTGTGTTCCGTCCAGGTCAGTGCCTAACACAAGGCCTGCACGGTCTCATTTACTCCCATGCTCATTGTGACAGAGTGACAAGGAAGGGATTATGCTCCCATTTTACAGAAGCAGTAGGTTTTATAATCATCTGTCATACCTGCACCCACAGGACAGTCGACAAGGCATTTGTAGGCCCGTGACTTTTATTTAACTCTCACAGCAACCTGCAAGGAATGTTATCTGGTAGAGGAGACAGACTCACTGGAGGTCATATGGGCTGATTAAGGTCCAGCAGCAAGTCACTCCAAAGAGGCACTCCAAACCAGGACTCCCCACTCCTGGTTCAATGCTCTTTTCACTGCACTCTGTTCTCTTCCCCTTTAGAGATCAAAGGGACCCGAGAGCATCATCTAGTCCCATCCCCTCCTGCCACACAGGAGAAGCCCAGAGAGGGGGAAGGACTCTTAACCCAATGGTCAAATTTTTTTCTCTGCCTCTCTTCTGCAGGAGGCTTCATCTGCCTCCCCTTGTCTAGGGGGCCCAATTGCCCTAGATTTTGCCCTGACGTCTGAGTGACCCTCCTGCAACAGCTTGTACTAAGTCAGTCTATCACTGTCTTCCTCTTCTTGTAACTGGTCTCCAGCCACAGGTCCCACTGAAGAGGGAGGAGAGTCTTAAGCAGCCTTAGAAGCCAAGTAGCCCTGTGCCCATGGCCACAGCCGATTGGATGACACCAGTGAGGGAGGCCAACCCAGAGTGAGCAAGGTTAGACTTATGCGCCAGAGCAGGTGGGTCTGAGCGGTGGAAAAGGAGCCCGGCAGTAGAAAGGAAGAAGCACAGAAAAGAGGCTAGGGGACCCCAGACAGAGCCTCTGCTCTGTGAGTGTACCAATCCCATGATTCCCAGCAGTACCTGGGCCCAGGTTATTTTTCTGTGCAAAGCATTAGCACATTCCCCACATTGAATCACATGAGTGGGTTTTGATACCATGCAACTTAGACCTTATAGAATTATTTTTATTTTTTTTAACAAGTTTAATGGCTGATACAGTCATATGGTGTTAACTCATATGTGGAATTTAAGAAACAAAACAAATGAGCAAAGGGAAAAAAAGAAAGAGAGAAAGAGACACCAAGAAACAGACTTTTTTTTTAAAAGATTTTATTTATTTATTTGACAGACAGAGATTACAAGCTGGCAGAGAGAGAGGAGGAAGCAGGCTCCCTGCTGAGCAGAGAGCCTGATGTGGGGCTCGATCCCAGGACTCTGAGATCATGACCTGAGCCGAAGGCAGAGGCTTTAACCCACTGAGCCACCCAGGCGCCCCAAGAAACAGACTCTTAACTAGAGAAAACAAATGGACGGTCACCAGAGGGGAGGCAGGTGGGGGGGTCGGTGACCTAGGTGATGGGGAGGGGAGGAAGGAGGGCACTTGTGATGTATGATGATGACGGGTGATATACAGAAGTGTTGGATCACTATATAATACATCTGAAACTTATATTACACTCTGGTAATTAACTGGAATTTAAATAAAAACTTTAAAAAAAAAGACATTTTGGGGGCACCTGGGTGGTTCAGTGGGTTCTGCCTTCGGCTCAGGTCATGATCTCAGGATCCTGGGATCGAGTCCCACATCGGGCTCCCTGCTCAGTGGGCAGCCTGCTTCCTCCTCTCTCTCTCTCTATCTGCCTGCCTCTCTGCCTACTTGTGATCTCTCTCTGTCAAATAAATAAATAAATAATTTTAAAAAATAAAAATTAAAAAAATTTTAAAAAGACATTTTTAAAAAGTAACACACTATATATATTGCTCTGCATCTTGCTTTTTTCACTGAACTGTCCTGGAAATCATTCCAGGCCATAAAATGATGCATTGTTTTTACAACCGAAGTCCATGGTTTATGTCTGGATTCAACCGACCCCACCAAGGGGTGAGATGGGGCCCGGAGGCCTGTCACTTTGTTAAAAGCAAAGGAGAGGCAGGATCAGGAGATATGTCTGGTCTCTTCGCTGGTGGGAGAACAGAGAGACTGAGGCTTTAGTCAGTGTCTGCAGGAGGCCGAGGCTAGACCTAGAGGGTTTGGCCGTGTCGGGGATAAAAGGCCATGGCTTGGCTTGCTGACCTCTGCCCCTCCCTGTGAAGTTCAGAAACAGGTTCCTCAATGACTTCATCATTCTGCCTCATCTTCTCTCGCACCACAACTGCTCCACCCGAGTAGGTGGCTGCAGAAAGGGGAAAGCTGCCCAGGCCTCCCTGGCTCTTACCCCCTTCCAGTTTGTCTCCACTCCCTGAGGGGCCTCCTTCCCCCATGGCAGCAAGGGCTGTGTGGGCCCAGAACAAGCAGCTTCCCTTGCCCTCTGCCCCTGGGGAGGGGGGTTTGGGATATTAGGGGTGGGCAGGAGAGGGTGCTGTGTTGGACTCCCCTGCCTGAGCTCTGGAGATCTTTACCCTCTGCCTCCTTTCCACAGGCTTCCCCAGGGGGCCCAGGCCCCGATGGTGCCCTCCCACACCTGTTATTTCTGTCCTCTGCCCAGCACCCTACCTTGGGCACTGGGGCTCCCCTGGATCTGTCTCTTGGAATCTTACACCTTACTCTTTCTTTCTCCCACAATTCTTTATTCTATTCTTCTATAAATTGCTTTTGTAATTTTATTCCTGCTGAAAGAAATGCCTTTTCCTGACTTTCCAGCCTGCTCCAACACCCCACAATTTACTGCTGGTCACATCTTGTAAGGACCTCCAAGGGGTTTGCCTCTCTTTCTTCTCTTTCCTTCCCCTTCCCCCACTCCAATGTATTGTTTAGGTTATGGAAACATTAACTAAGGTCAGGATGTCTTTTCCACAGAGGAATTTTTGTTTCTGATTCTGGTGGGGTCATTCCACTGAGTCAGAATCAAATGCATGTCCCCACCAGAAGAGAGGGATTATTTTATCTGCGTGCACATGTGCTGTAGCCGGCGACCAGGCATGGGAGTCCGTACTGCAGTAACTCCTTCCATCAGCAAATGCTCCCTGCAGCCTCCAGTCTGTGGGCTCTGGGCTGGGCAGCCAGGGACACACAGTCGATTGGGCGTCTGCCATCAGCTTGGGTTGTGGTCCCAGCGTCCAGGGATCAAGCCCCACATTGGGCTTCCTGCTCAGTGGGGAGCCTGCTTCTCCCTCTCCTGCTCCCCCTGTTTGTGTTCACTCTCTGCCTCTCTGTCAAATAAACAAACAAAATCTTTAAAATTCTCACTGCCCTCACAGGTGCCCCAGTGTGTTGTGGAGGACAAGACATGCGCTAGGATAATCGGGGGCTACAGGTTGTGTTTGTGCTGAAACTTTTTCCCCTTTAGTGATTGTGAAGCATTATGAGGGCACCTGTTCTGTGCCAGGCACTTATGTGGCCTTGTTTCATTTTGACAACCACTTGCAAGTTAGGCTTTGTTAACCTTACCTTACAGATGAGGAAACTGAGGCCGGAGAGGTTGAGTTGCTCACACAAGGTGACAGTGGAGGTGCAGCATCAGGATTTGATTCCAGTCACCCCAAGGCTAGGTTCCTTCCACTGGCTGGAGCAGCCCTCTCTCAGCTCTGATAGCAAAAAGGAGCAGATTTCACACTGGTTTGTTGCTTTGTCTCTTTTCTACCCCGAGTGTGACAGGGGGAGGATGTGGGAGAGAGTTGGGCCCAGAGGACAAAAAAGGGCAATTGGCCTGCACAGGGTGGGGGTGGGAAGCAATGCTTGTCTGTTTGCCTGCACATGCGCAAGGACACAGCCTGCGGGGACAGTAGATGGTATGGGAGTGAATGAGGCTGTCCTTGCCTTTCATGCACCAGCATCTTCATTTGCGTAGAAGCCTTAGTACCACGAGTATCACATCTGATAGGCCTTCCCAGACCAAAAGGAACTACACTGTTCAATCAACAACCCATGACTGTCTTCCCTACACGGGGCATGGGATAAAGAGATGCTTAAGAAATGGTCCTTTCTCTTAAGAGCTCGTAGGTTAGCACAGTGCCTAGAAAACCAATGTGGCAAGTGACTTGATGGTAGAATGCCTGGGGGTTGGGGGCTGCCAGAGCTCAGGAAGAGGACGTCACTCAGCTGGAGGGGTAGATCAGGAATCCTTCTTGGAGGCAATGACTGAGCTGAATCTTAAAGGATGAGTTGTCCTTCAAGGTCAAGGCAGGTGAGAGAGTGCATCCCAGCATATGTGCATGACATGTCCAAAGGCCAGGAGGCGGGGACGGGCAGGGCAGTTTTGGAGAACAGTAAATAGTTGGGTATGGCCAGAACCTCCTTCAGGTGCTTTGTTACAAAAGGTCATTTAGCCAAACTGGGAGTTTGGTCCCTATTCAGTAGATAAAGAGAATGATTGAAATCCTTTAAGTGAGGGAAGGGATGGTCAGAGCTGCATTTTAGAAAGCTCATTCCAGGAGATGTCTTATTCTAAATGGTGCCTGGAGAGCAGTTCCTGTTGCAGCCTTCTGCACTTCTCGCATGTAGGCACCCACAAAACACAAAAATGCATAACAATTCTGAAAATCAAAACTGGCAGACAATCAATTACAAGAATCTGAAAGACAAAATAATTGCTTGTCCATCCTTGGAGTAGGAAACAGAGCAATGCACTCACGTAAATAAAGATAGAAATACACTTAATTCTGTTTGCCATTTAGAGACACCAAATATTTAACAATTAGAAAATAGCACAACTGCCTTTTTGCTGTAAATGGGCTGCTTTTTTGAGGTCGCCAGTGCAGTATTGTCATATTCCTGTCCCATATTTTTTAAAGATTTATTTTTATTTTTTTTATTTGAGAGAGAGAGAGAGAGCTGGGTGATAGGGGTAGAAGGAGAGAGAGACTCCTAAGCAGCCTCCATGCCAAGCATGGAGCCCAATGTGGGGCTCAATTTCACGACCCTGAGATCAGGTCCTGAGTTGAAACCAAGAGTCAGTTGCTTAACTGACTACACCATCCAGGTACCGTCTTTTTTTTTTTTTTTTTAAAGATTTAATTTTAAGTAATCACTACGCCCAATGTGAGGCTCAAACTCACAACCCCAAGATCAAGAGTCACATGCTCCTCTAACTGAGCCAACCAGGCATCCCATCAAATTCCTGTCCTCGCATCTACCTTTTTGCACTAAATGAGGTTGCAATCCCCAAAGGAGAGAAAATAGGGGAGCCTACTAGGGCTAGCACTTATCATTCTGAAAGGTGAAGAATCTCAACACAAAGCCTTGAGAAGGAGAGAAGGAAGGGAGAGCTGTTAATGATGCATGCTGATGCAGTTTTTCATAAACTCCACTGATCCAGAAGGGCAGAGGGACTAGACAACAGGAACAGAAGATGTCCCCCACTTGTGGAGGAAGAAGTTAGAAAAGTAAAAATAAAACTAAGCCCAAGTAAAGTAGAAGAAAGACATAATAACAAAAATGAATCAAATAGGAAGATAATTAATTCATTAATTAAATTTAGCAATGTAGCTGGATCCACTGTATAAACAAAACTCCGTAGTACTTCTACTAAGCACCTACAATTAGTGAGGTTCAAAAACAGTGCCATTTGCAGTAACATCAAAAAAGCAACAAAGGGTGCCTGGGTGGCTCAGTGGGTTAAGCCTCTGCCTTCAACTCTGGTCGTGATCTCAGGGTCCTGGGATCGAGTCCCACATCGGGCTCTCTGCTCAGCAGGGAGCCTGCTTCTCCCTCTCTCTCTGCCTGCCTCTCTGCCTACTTGTGATCTATCACCCTCTCTAAGAAGAAGAAAAAAACAAAAACAAAAACAAAAAGCAACGAATATCTCGGAACACATCTAGTGAAAGGTGTACAAGACCACATACTATATTATTGGGGCAAGTTAAAGAAAATCTAAATTAACGGAGGAAGGGATATACCATGTTCATAAATTGAAGGACTATGAATATTCATACTGACACTATTCTAAATAGCCTAAACTGGAAACAACCCAAATGTTCCTGAACAATACAATGCACAAATTCATCATGATATAATCACACAGTTGAATATATTCAGCAATGAAAATAAGTAAACTTCTGCTACATGCAACAACTCTGATGAATTCCATAAACATAATGTGGAAGGATATGCACTGTGTGATTTTACTGACCAAAAGTTCAGAAACATGGGCACCTGGGGGTTCAGTCAGTTGAGCATACAACTCTTGGTTTTGCCTCAGTTGCGGTCTCCAGGTCATGGGACTGTTCTCAACACAGAGTCAGCTTGAGATTCTCTCCCTTTGCTCCTCTCCCTGCTCATGCTCAAATAAATAAATAAATAAATAAATAAAATAATTTTTAAAAAGTTCAAAAACAGACAAAACTCATCTATGGTGTCAGAAGTCTGGATAGTAGGAGATAATGACCAACAGGGCCTAGGAGAGATTTCAGACGTTGGTAATCTAGTTCTTGACCTGGATGGTAGCTTCGCAAGTATGTTTACTTTGGTACAACCAGATTGTGCATTTATGGTTTGTGCACCTTTCTGAATATGTCTTAATTCAGTAAAAATTTTAATAAAAAAGGAATAAATTAAGAAACGGGAAATTGTGGTATAAAGGACTTACAAGGCTACTCAGATTCTGTGATATAGATGAATTCTGTGTCATGCATGGATACTGCAGCCCAGCAAGAGAGCTGAGCACTTTATAGTTACTTCATAGTTACTCACTTACTTATCAGCAAATGTCATTTTACAGGTGAGAAAACAGGCCAAGAGAGTTTAAAGGAACTTCCCCAGTGTCACAAAACAACTAAGTGGTAAGGTCCAAGAGTCAAACCTCAGCAGCTGGGGTCCAGGACTCACGCCCAATGCCACCCCACAGAGTCAGCTTGTCAGCTGTTTCTCTTCTGCTCCACTCCTTCCCCCGTCCCTGGAACAGTGTTTCTCAAACTCTATAATTGGTTCCACAATTCGTGGGGTGTCTTTGCCATGTTTGATGACACTAAGAACAATAGTGATTCCTATGGTGTTTCAGGACTTGCCAGTAATGGACAAACTTTTTAAGAGCTTGGAACAGTGTCAGGAAAATTGCCGAACAAAATGTCTTCTGTATTTTTATAACTAGAAGCAGAGTTGTGACGGGCAGCATAATATGCATGTTCACTGCCAAGAAACTTGCATAATGATTTTCTGCATCTTTAAAGCCCTGAATCCATTAAGGCTTTTTAATTGGTATTGAGTAATACACCACACGCATGGCAGAGACTATCCGTAGCCATCCCTGAGCTCCTCTTCCATTACCTTTTATCTAGAACTGTTAAAATTGCTCAGTTAACTATGCATAAATGTGTGGAATAATCAGTGTATTCTCAGCTAGGTAAAAATGCAGAAAAAGATTTTTTAGGAAATACACCAAATTATGCACAACAGTTATCTTGGGTTGTAGCTTTTTGCATTGGTTTTTATTTTTTTATTTCTTGGTATCCTCAAATTTTCTACAACAAATATATGTTACCTTTTAAATCATATGATTCTTTTTTTTTTTTTTTTTTTTTTAAGAGACCGGGAGGAGAGGCAGAGGGACACAGAGGCTCTTAAGCAAGCTCCTCGCCCAGCAAAGGGCCAAACCAGGGCTTGACCTTACAACCCCGATATCATGATCTGAGCCAAAATCAAGAGTCAGAAGCTTAACCTCCTGAACCATCCAGGAGCCCTAAATCATACAACTGTAAAATCAGCTTAGAGTATATGAAGTTTTATATAATCATGTACTTGTAATTATGTCAAATATATGTATATAGTAAAAGACTGGAAGAAGTCAATAGTAATTTTTTTCTGTTTGTAGAGCAATGAGTTTTTTCCTTTCCTTTACTTTTTAGAACTTTTAAATTTTTCTGTAGCAATCATTGTATCAGTCAAGATTCTAGATTATAGGGGCACCTGGGTGGGTCTGTTAAGCATCTGTCTCTTGGCTTTGACTCAGGTCATGATCTCAGAGTTGTGGGGTCAGGGTCCCACATTGGGCTCCACACTCAGCATGGAGCTTCTTGAGATTCTCTGCCTCTCCCTTTGCCCTTCCCCCCTGTTCACATGCTCTCTCTCAATAAAATACATACATACATACATACATACTTTAAAAAAATGATTTTAGATTATAAACAACAGAAGTTGACTCCAGTTACCTTAAGCAGTAAAGGATTTATTGTAAGAACATTAGGTGCTTCTCAGCATCTTTTGGAAGCTAAGGAAGGCTTAGTAGGAGAGAACCCAACCAAGGTCAAACCAAGGTCAATGGTTTGGTTAGGACATTGTTGCTGGGACTGCCACCAGACACCCTTAGCCGTCACTGCTGCTGGACTCCCGATGCCTGCACTGCTGTAACAAATATTCTTTCTAACTGTGCCTATGTCTTCGTGTCACTCTCTCATGGTCCAGACTTCTGGGCAGAATCATCTGATTCACTAACAATAATCATGTGCCCATGTTCTAGCTGCCTGAGCACAGGAAGGACTGTCTGGCTCTTG